AAAGTTGCACATATATTACTGCACTGTAATGGAATAGATGGTGGTTTTCCTAAAAATACTCACATGCTTTTGTTATCTTAGAAAGCAGGACAAAAGAGCCAGTCTTGCCTTGTTCTCTTTATCAATTAATTATATGGTGGAAATGCTCCTTGACTGATCATTCATTGGTGTATCAAGTTCCATCAGGACCAAAACACAATTGTGGCCTTTGTTGGTGATGACAATACATCTATATGTGCTTCAGTTTTCATTGAAGAGACATTACATGAAAAACTCTTTAAGATCCATTTACTGGTGAAATCTAGAGGTACTGTGAAGCTAGAACCAGGTTGGGTGCAGATCTAGTTATCCGTGTTTATCTTTGATATCATTCCAATACATTACAGTAATAAAAAAAATGCTCATAATTCTATGTGACAGAAAGTAAGAAAACTAATATTTGCGAGATCGAAGTTCAAGATGTATTCTGTGGCTAATTACTCTAGACCATAAAAAGATGGAGGAACAAACAGTCCTTTTTTTAAGGCATCGTTCAAATTTGAACATAATCCTGGCTTGACTCAATGAGACCCACTGCGACCTAAAACATTAGAGAGAAACTATGTCTCTAATGATACACATAAAGGCATATATATATGTATATGGTTGTATATGTATATGGCCTACTATCGTATAGAGAAAAAGTAAACTACCAGATGAAGTTGTTGTGGCAACAACTGTCAAAATGTCCTGATAAGGAGCTCAGTGGGTGGATAATGTTTGATAGGACTTTTATGACCAAAGATCAAAGGTCCAAGTCTGTTTTTCCAACACATCTACCTTCACACTTCAGAGGGACTTCTTTCTGGAATCTGGGTGAGTGAATATCTGACAATTATGTTACTTCAGCGGATATTACACACTTCTTTCCAAGACATTTGTGTTCTAATTCCAAGGACATCCTGTACCTGCTCACAGGAGCGCCTCCTCTGCTTTATCATGGCTGAGCTGGCCTTCTACCCTGCAGTGGCACTGATGTATTTCTTTGGGGTGATGAAAGCCACGCAGGATGACCGGGTGGAGCTGCATGACGGGGCTTCCATGAACGTGTTCTGTCTGTTTGTGTTGGCGCAGCCACTTTGCCTCGTAATTGGAGGATACACAGGCATGGCAACCTACCTCCTCACAGCTTTGGTTTCCTACAACTTCCTGCCCTGGAAAAAGACTAAACAGCAGGACAATAAAACGGGAAAGAAGAAGAAAAATTGAGACCAAGGAACATGTTATGGAGATAGTAAAAAAGTGGCCTCAAACTTGTAAAAGAGAACATTTCATGCATTTAAGTCAATGAATGGAAATACAATCGCAGCATTTCCGACTGCAATTTTGGGGGTACAACCTTTTCCATGAGTTATTTACCAGAGTTTAGCTGTCCTACACAGGTATTTTCTTATTTGTTTTTTTACAGGTTCATTTTAAACAACTCTGTGAGAGGTGCAATTTTACAGCAAATTGATATCCGATGTAAACTTTCATCTTTTAATGTACTGCACCTGAATATTTTTTAGGAAATGAGCATACCTGTTTTAAATGAGAAGACAATGTTTGCCTTTTAGAAGAATAAAACAAATTAATACCAGCAAGCCAACTTTAGCATGAAAAAACAGAAGGAGGTAAAATGGCAGTTTATCGGAAATTAACTATATTTGCTTATCATATCCCTCAAAGCTTACAAATACCTTCCATTTACTTAATCTATTAGATTAGTAGATTTTTTACTTACCGTCAAACATTTGGTAATTCCTTCATTCCTGTCTGCAGGCTCAATACACTGTAACCTTATGTTTGACAGTTTTTTTATTTTGTTTCTTATTCCAAAAATTCCTTATAATAGATGAGGAACTTTTACTAAGCATGTCCAGGGTCATCCTCACACAATAAAGGCTGGTGGGAGGTTATCCGAGTGTGATGCACTCATAAGGCTGTAAACACTTGGAGCGGTTAGTGGTTAAAGCAGACAAAGAGCCAGACAGATGCTGCGAAGATCCCAGCATTGTGTTTTCAGCACAGCGAGGACAGCATAATCCTCTATGCCTACCTGTGAAGATGACAAATTTGCTATAAAGATGGACAAATGAAGAAAGAGCAAGTAACAGGGACCCAAACAAATGTTCGGTGCAGCAGACATTGGAACACTCATCCGATCCAAATCCAACATCTATTCTGACATTTTTTAACTTACTAACTTACAAATTTTATCCAATATTATCACATCCTTAGGATACATCTATGAATTGGCTCAAATGAAAACATTTTAGAACATTATGCCCACATGAGTGGTGCCTGCAAAAAGCCTCCATTGAAAAAACTAATTACTGAAAAAGAAAATCAGCATTGTGTCTTTTTTTAATCATCCCCCGATTCATGAATGACTGTGTCTTCCCTCTGATGTGGTTAAGCTTGCTAGCACAGAGTGTGTGTGTGTGTGGTGTGTGTAAACCTGGGCTCAAAGGGAGTGTATAATGGGATTAGACTGTGCTGTTTGGTTGATAGTCAGAGGCTTTTTTCAGCACCCATGCAAATTGTCACTGCTTATCTTCGCAACATTTTTAGCTAAACAGGAAGTTTACTACCCTCCTCAATATTAAAATCTTCTTTGAGATGATGTCCAAGTGTTTTGATTTCCTTTAAGAAAATGGTGAAAGCCTTGCTATCTACATTGTTCTTATCTGTTTCTACTTGCCATCAATATATGTCTCATTTGTGGTTCTGAATTTAGCTGCTGCTCTCTGAAATTACTCTTTTTACAGGGTTAATGAGTCACAATTGTGATTATTCATGTATCATCAGTTATTCTTCCACACATGCATCATGATGTTAATTATCAGTCTGCTCTCTCAATTTCATAGACAATAGTTTAAATTTATCAATCAAGGAAAGTCTTTCCAAAATATTAGGTTTCAATCTCAAATCATTACAGGATGCTTTCTGCCCTTGTTTGTTTTTGTCCTCTACACCCCTGTAATCATACAAGTGAATTATTAAAGCAATCAGTCCAAACAAAGATGATAAGTGATGCATTTCTTAGAGCCTGTAATTCTGTTTACAGCCAGAGGCTTTGTGGTGAGTCACAAGTTTTTTTTGTCAAGAAACACAAAGCACAAGCATCATAACCCGTGGTTAATATAATCAAATCTGAGTGGACTCCTTTTTTCTTTGCTGCAGCAGAAATAAACAGTTAATTCAATACTGACATCTCACTCATTTTTAAGATCAAAAGTATTTTAAAACAGTTGTTATTCATACATTTGTTGTATTGACAGAGAATAACTATCAGTTGGATCAGTTGTCCGATCACAATCTATTCTTTAACAGCCTGAGAGCTAACTGACCAATAAGCATTCAACTGTGTCCAGTCCTCCTTCTGAAACTGCAGACCCAGCCCAGAATACAAATTTCCATCCCACCCGGATTTCGGGGCTCTTGCTGACTGAGATCCTCAGGGAGCTTTGTCTGTGAGAGCCCAGCGCTAATATACTTAACCTGTGACCCAATAAATGTCATATTTCTACTCTTGATCTACTCTGGTTTATTCTCAGGCTTCCAACTAAAGAATAGGGCTAGCAAAATATTACAGCTATATCAAGGTTAGAAAAGCATTAAATATACAGTTTGAATAATCTCCCTATAATTTCAGTCTAATGTGATTTCTTGGAGTACCCAAATGTTTTTGTCAACATTCTTGAAGCGCTCACAAGACTTTAATATGTGGCTTTTAGCCACTAAATGCTTCTAGTCTCTGGCTAATCATTAGCCTTGCCAGTCAAGCCCCTTGCAGCTCCACAGGTAGAAGCTGGCTGTCAAGAGTTGAGAGTGAGCTGAACATTTTCAGTACTCTCTGTGGAGCTGAGAAAAACAGATTATCCATACCTTCATTACAATTGATTCCTTTCACAGAGACATTAGTTGTTGTAGAAGTGCCAGTTTAATTGCTACAAGTGCTTAATTAGAATTTCAGATGGCTGAATTCAGAAAAGTAGCACCGTCACAGCAAATTGGACAGTAATGGCTTGAATAAAACAAAATTCATAGCCGAGTAGAAAAATGTCCTGCTAAAAAGCCATTTCATCAATTCAGGCAGCAACAGAAGCACAATCCAGAAAGTAACACGTTGAGGTTCGAAGTAAGAATTGTTTGGTTTTGTTAATAGGACACACATAACAAATCTCCTGAACTTAAACTCCATCTGTTATCGACTCAGCAGCTGCGGAATTTACTAATGATTTACTCCTGCAGTAATATTGGATCGAAATTCCGATTTAATGCATTTGTTTGTTAACTTGTAACAGAAAAAATGTAAAGATTACCTTGCTCAAACAACAGAAACGGATCTGTTAAATGAAAGATATTGTTCAACAAAAATTCTAAGACTCTGACTGGAGAAGTGACAAATGTAGCACACATAGCTGAGAAATGGCAGCTTCTGTTCCCAGATATTTGTTTGCATCTGGCATCTTCAAATGGCTTTGGCCTTCTCTGAGGCGTTAATGTCTGTCATACATCACAGTGCTTACATATCCCACCGTGGCTGAGACAGCCAAAGCCAGACACAAGTTAATGATCAGAGTTTCCAAAGGAAATGAAGATTTATGAGTTTTGAGTGTGTATGTATCCCTGAAGTCGAGGAAAATGCATCTGGATGAAAAACACACTACGCCTACATGTCATCGTTTACAGGGTGTTTGTCTGTTTAGACTGAGTGATAAAAAGGCAAAGGATCATTTTTTTGTCTTGATATGAAGAGGCACATGGTATAATTTTCACACTTCAGGATAACTGCAACTAAAAGTTCCCCAATTTTTTTCTGGTAGACTAATGTAATTTAATAATTATTAAAGATATTATGCATTATATAGAAAGAAGTTAACACCAGCAGCTTCATCTTTGCATTCTAAAGCACTTTTGCAACATTTAAACTGGTTTTTGCAGGAAATTCAGACAGCAAAGTGCACAAAAAGCAGTTGTTTCACATTTTTTTATTTTGTTGAGGGAGCAATGGATCCTTCATTAAATACGTATTTACATTAATTACAATCAAAACCTCTTACATGGCTTTGTTACATGCACATTGTCCTATATAAAAAAAACTATTTACAAAGATTTACACTTGAGAGGGAGTAGTCTGTGCAATAAAAGGCACAAATGACCTTTGAACCTGCATTTGTGTCCCAAGAGTACATATTTCACAGACATTGTCACATATCGTGTTACCACACAACGAACACCGAAAGAAAAACTCTGGGAGCAGCTGAAGAGGAGATGTGTGATGGAGGTTTGCTGCCAAGCGGTAAAGTGCCCTTTTGATCAAGAGCCCTCAAGATTGTGTCTAAATGAGAAGCCATCCCCTCAGCAGCCTGAAGCAAGTTGAAAGTCTTTTCTGCCATAATGATGCAGCAAGTAGGGACACTGACTGCCTTAAAACAGAACTGAAGGGCAATCTACAATCCTCAGTGTGTCCGTTACAGACACAGGGTTTTTTTTTTTTAAATCATTACCGATGTCCTTCATTCACATTCTGTTTTTACAAGCCAGTCAGGTCAGTTAGGTGAGGCATGAGGCTAATGCTGAGATGATGAGCATTTGGGTTTTATTTCCCCTACAATTATTAGATGGTGCATTTGGGAATTAAGTACCACAGGTGGTAACACAATCTGTTTCACTGGCAGCCTCACTCTACGGTATGTTCTGTGCTGGCAACTGTTAATTTGTGAATAATGGAGCTACTTTTTTTTCTTTTTTTTAAAGAAATCTACCATTTATTAAACCCCACACCCTGAGTGCAAGTGACAGATTACTGCTTCATAAATGTAACTGGGTATGACGACCCTTTCAAGTTGAAGAATTTCTCAACATGCTGATATGAAGCACAGGAGCACCCGAAATGTTTAATATTCCACACACACAGAATTCAGAAGGTTGGTTCATCCATCCGAAATAAACGTAGAACCTAGCCAATATTTCAAGTATCAACATTTTCTCAGAACGAGAATCTTCAGCAAATGACTAAATTAATGTCTAAAACTATCCATTGCAATGGTTGTCTGCATGCATTTCTCCAAACATTTGCTTAGCTTATCCACTTATATTACAAACTGCATGTGCTTTGAGAGAGCGTGAAGCTTGTCAAGTGTTCCCACACTAACTCAGGGCGGTGAGGCTTAGTAAATGGTAAATTCCCTGGTTCCTCACATTTCTGTACACATTGCTGTTAGCATGTTCTCTTTATACATCTGCTTAGGGCACAAGTGTGGAATATCTATACACACATATGCTGTACATGAAACTGCCTACTACATTGTACTGACAAACAGTAAATCAGCCTGTTTTGCTAAATCTGGCGAGCTTGGCCAGAGTTTTATAGAAGAAAGAGCGTGATACATTTCTGTGATTTGGCCTCCAAGGTGGGTAAATTCACTCTTAAAAAAGGATGGAGATGTTGGTCTGCCACATTCCCACATTTTGCATTGTAGAATAAAATAGGCCAGGCAGAGTGCTCTATTGCTAACACGCTTTTTCATCTTAGTCCTGCTATATTGGTGATTTTGATTTTTGTTCAGTTTGTTTTCTTTCAACCCAAACTGGTTAGGCATTGCAAGTACAGTAGGCAGTTTCACTTGCAGCCAAAGAATATCAACTGTTTGTGGTCATTATATTAATAAAATACTACAGTGCCACCAGGCAACTAGGGAAATAAAGACAGACTGTCCTCAGCATCTACTAAGGTTTGCATGCTGCTCTTCCACATGTAACATTGTCATTCTCAGATACTACAAATGAAGAATTAAAAGGCAGCAGTCTTTTTTTCTGACACACGTCCCTAAATATCATATTAGCAGAAACATTGCATGACCTATCTATAACCTACTGTAAATCTGAAGAGATAGGTTCTTTCCAGGTCAGTGGTTTACACCTATTTTGGGATTTATTCATATTCTTTTTGTAAACTAAGTCTAAAACATGGCTTGATTTATATTTGGAAAACAGCAGAGCATAGAGCGTTCACGTCAGTGTTCGCTTTCCAAACAAAGTGCATGTAAAAACCTAACTAAGAGACCAATATGAGGCCAGCTGACAGGAGAGAAGTCAACTGCAGTTCCTCAGTTATATTTAGAAGTGTATGACACAAGTATTTACACATCACCAAGTAATAAAGTGGTGTTGTTATGGGCTTAAATATAAGTCTCAGAGCTAGAGGCAACTTTGAAAGAGGCTGACCAGAAAATATTTTATGGCTTCTTTGTAACCATAGCGACTTTTTTGAGTGAAGTGGGATTCATAAAGCACTCTCAGTATTTTGTGCACTGTCAATGTTTCAGAATCCGGAAAACTTGCCACATCGCTTGAAGAATATAACAGCAAACCTACACCGTTGGATATCGCTCGGATTTGACATTACGAGGTCAAATGACTCATCGGCAGAACTGCGGGATTTCAAGACGTCCAATCGACAGGTCAGCTCTACTGGTACTAAGCAAGAGAACGTACAAGTATAGGGCACAACCGCGGGTGCCCTAAAATACAGCTCTACAGAATCTGAACTAATAGTAAGTGGAAGTATCAAGAAAAGACAAAAACGGAGATGAAGTCTGTCTGTGCAGCATTACCACATACAATATCAGAGGTGGCGAGCAAAGTCCATTTGGTCAATTGGCACAGATAAATACAGCAAAGGGCCCAGACCCAAGATCACAGTACACAACCCACTATGTCATGGCCTTTCCCTGCTGACCACACTTTGTACCAGTAACCCCAGATTACAAGCAAACTAAAATATAGATAGCATGTATTATGCATATTTCTAACAGGTAATTATGACATTTTTTTTTAAACAGTGCATATCTTCTTTGAGTTGCAAGACTTTCAGCTTTGGCCAGAAAAAGAAATGTGTCTATTTTCACACAAAAGCACAGTACAAAGATAGGAAGTAAAGGGAGTTAAATGCAAATGCAAAACATGAAAATCAGTATTTAACAAAAGGGAGTCAAACATGATAGTACCTTTTTTTCCTCATTTTAAAAATAAAGAAATAAAACAAATCTGATAAACAAGGCATTTGGACGATTTGAAAGCTAGCTAAGATTCACAGGGTCAAGTTATGATTAAAGTATGACTAAAACTGTCCCTCAACCTTTACCTGAGTTTCTAATCATAACAAAATACAACACCAAAAAAAAAGCATCATCAGATTAACACCATCAACGCGTTTGCATTCATGTCTAATAGCAGACCTCCTAACAGAAGACGAAAACCCCTAAAATTGCTTTTGGCGAGTTTAAGCAGCGTCAGACTCATGTTGGATACATGAAACAGCAGCAGAGCAGAATTTATGGAAAGCTTGTTCAAAGTATTTCTCAACTTTCAACACATTCTTGAATACCGTTTTATGATCCAAGAATCATTTAATTCAACTACATACTGTACGTATCTGGGTCTTTCATAAGGAAAAGTGCACTAAATCAGCAAAACATTATTTCTTTCAAAGTGGAAGCGATAATGCTGAGCCAAACAAAACTGAACCGTTATCCTAACAGACATGAATTGGATTCTTCATCAAGCGGTAGGACATCTGTGTGGAAAGATGCTTCCAAATACATTTAGAGCTGCTGAGTAAAAAAAAAAAAAGTGTGCTCATGAAATGATGGGAAGCAATTTTCCGTATATGTCAGAGACCAAACTGATAAATTAAGTGACTTAAGACTTTCCATGGCCTGCAGGTGTGTGTGCGTGTTTCTCAGTGAAATGCTGAATTTGTTTCATTAAAGAGACACTTAATTAACACAGCGAGGAATGCTGAGCAGACAAGACGGATAACCAAAATATGGATATTTCTGTGTCTGTGCATATGTGCGTGATGCCCACACACATTATCTGCCACACAAATGGATTCATTTATCAGCACGTGGGGACAGAAAGTAGATTCCTGCTTGTATGTGTAGCACCTAAACAGTGGGTGGAAGGAAACTGGAAATAAAAAGGGAAAAAAACAACTGATAACAGAATCCCTCTCAGTGGTGACCTATTAAAAAAAAAGTTACGTTGCCTGAAAAGCAGCTGACAGAGCTGAGCTCTAATTAATTGCCTTCCAACAGAGGTTCAGTAGATGGGAAAGAGGTGGGCTCGGTAAGGCTGGTCAGTCTGACACCTCACCTGGAAAAATCAGAGGGGAGATGAAAGCAGGCAGAAGGAACTGCTGCTCTTACCATTTGCCTGGAGGATAAATGGCAGGTAAGGGCTCCATACTGTAGACGGATGGGATAACGATCAACCACTTTGGCCTCAATGCAGCACTTGTCTTGCAATTGGGTAATGAGAGTGTACTGTTGGGCTTCTGCACAGGTGTTTTTTTTTATTTCAGCCACAGTTAGCACTTTAATATGTTACAGTCGAGTCCTCTGGGATCAAGGCTGCTTTAATTGTACTACCGGCCGTGCGCTATCCTGTCTGCGAGGTCAGCAGCCAGATGGTCTGATAGCCACAGGCCCACAGAGGACTCATCCTCAAGGAGATGAAGAGGCTGACATGAAATGATTTTAAGACATAAAGCACCGAATGTTTGTACATAGAGACCCACGAAAAATGTCCCCACCCATCCCACGCCAAGGTAATAAAGAAATGAGGTAGGGAAGACAATAAATAAATAAAACATACTAATAATGATGACTTGCAGAAAGAAAAGCTAGTTCCAGGACACCAAGAGATGATAGTTTGTGTTGTTTTCCAGTGATGTCTCAGCCAGGATCAGCAAAAGTCCACTGATCCGCTGCCATGAGCGCATAACGTGATTATCCAGTGTGCCCAATATCAGAGCCACCACAAAAGTAAAGTAACAGAGGCTGGACAGATACACAAACAGACTCATCTCGGACTGTCTGAGACCTCAGTTAACGAACAGAAGGACACTTTCATTCAATACCAGGCTGCAGGCGGTAGTTTTCATATTAAGTGAGACATTTTTTTGCCTGATGTCTGCACCACCTGGCAGTTACAGTTTATCGTTTCCAAGTAGCACCACATCCGAATGGCATTTTTAAAATTGGCAGTAAAAAAAAGAAAAGAAAAAAAAGTCAGAAAGGCCTTTTTTTTTCACCTTGACTACATGATCCACACCTTGATTGCCTTTGAAACTATAACTTTAGTGTGGGATCTCGTTGCCTGATGTGAGCAGGGTATAGATCACTGAAGATGCAGGCAGCAAGACAGCCGGCGATGGATCCACGGCCACTTTGGTTCTCATCTCTTCCTCCACACCTTTGACAGCCAGATCTTAACTGTTTTGTCACTGGACAGGGTGAGAGAGAGAAAGGGGGGGTGGGGGGCATGATGACCGAAAGAAGAAATGAGGGCACAACAAAGAGAGGAAATAACAGAACATCAGTCAGGCCCTCCCTTTCAAAATAACTCATTGTACATCAGACGCAACACAAAGATACTGACTTCAAAGTGCACTTCACAACACCCATGGGAGCACCCCCCCCCCCCCCCCCCCCCCACACAAACACACATATATCTGCCTCATTAAAGACCCTCCTCTTCAGTGTGTGGTGCGAGTAAGTGTGAGTAAACCTTCCCCTGGTAAATTAGGTAATGCAGCACATTTTTCCATTAACGCCACCCGAGGAGGTTGTGCTTTTTCCTGGATTTAGGAGATGGCACATCTCTGAATGGCTTTTTTAGAAACGCACTAAGAGGCTTTCTTACCATGAGTACATAAAGACACTGATATGATTCTCTAGTCTGCACACTGACTATAAATCTGCAGCCCAGATCCAATTCAGTAAAAAAAAAAATGTTTTAAAAAAAGAAATCCTTTAAAAAAACACCTACAAAAATTCTGTACTGCAAATCCTCCCCAATTATGTTATTAATTCAATCTCTAAATAGCCCAACTTAAAGTTCTGATTTTACTGGATGTAATTTTTCCATTGGAGTAGAGCAACAAACAGCAGAGCCATTTAGACAGAAAATGTGAGAATGAGGCTGTTATCCACATTAGAGCTGTGCAGTCAAAAAAGAGAAGCTGTTTGTCTTGGAAGAGGCTGTGATCTTCAAATGAACCAGTCCCCATGATGAAAAGTTTCAGAAGCTTAACTAAAAAAGCTTAACAGAGCCTAGCAGAGCTGCACGTATAAAGAAAAAAAGAACAAGAGAAACAGAGGACGTGCAGCAGAAATAAAAAAAAGAGGGATGGGGGGGGGATAAAAGCCGAGGAACAAAGAGAAATAGGAAAGATGACACCCATACACATAAAAAATAACAGAAGGTAAAATATTAACAGGAGGGAGAGAGAGATTGGTTAAGAGAGTACCAGAAAAGAGGAGGGTTGGTGGCAGGAAACAGGCAATCATGGGAGGCTGGTGGCTCGGCCCTTGATGGCCAGGACTCGACGTGGAAGACATGGGGTTAAGCCTGGCACATAGTTCCACAACTTCACCCGGCAGTCACTGAGGTCAGGCGGGATGGGAGAGGGAGGGAGGAGGTAGTGGGGAGAAGAGGGAGGCACAAGATGGTAGAAGAAGAGGAAAACAACAAGAGACTGTTACGTTTACAGGTGTGAGGAAAATACAGAGCGAGGAGAAGACGGGGCAGAGAGGGAGCTTGAAAGCCAAACAGCTGGATGAGAGGTGAAAAGCAAAATGTTTCATGAAGACACAGAATACTGTTTTATGCAGGAATAGACTGGATGTAGTCTTCCCCTCTGTGAGTAACTCCGGGGTGACGCGAACCTGCTGAGTGACTCAGATGAAGCCAGAATGATTCAGAAGTACGCTTGTCTTTTCTACTTTCCTTCTTCTTTTCTTTTTTTTCTTTTTTGAAGAATGTACCAACAGTTTGCTTTCAATGTTCCCATCTTTTTAAACCCCTATATCCCTTTATACAAGGCAGTTATTTCTTCCAGTTGGCAAACCTTCAAATGAATTTCAAACAACTCAGTGCACTGTTTAGACACAAAACAAATACAGTCTGAGGGACATTTCTGCCTTAAGAACACAACTCTTGCCAACTTGGTGGACCGCTGACAATTTATAAAAAGTATCATTTACCTGGAAGCCGTAAAGATCTGTCTTGAATTGGTGCATATGGCATTGATGGGGCTGTCGTGACCCCTGACCTCTCCTATGGGTGTGAAGTTTTCAACGTTCCACACCTTTAGCATGCCTCCCCGGCAGGCGCTCAGCAGCATGGGCCGGCCGGGTACATGGGCCAGGGCGCACACCCAGTCCTTGTGGGCGTTTGGAATTTGCTGGGAAGTCAAGGGAGATGGGAAGAAGCGTCAAAACCCAAAACTTTGCTTGTGTGAAGACAAAATAAACGCTATCTCTGTGTGCATGTCATATAGGTGACATGCTTTCTTGAAACACTAGCATGTAAACATGCATTGCATACTCTTCGCTTCATTTTTAATGGATCTAATTTTTCATCACTCGACCAGTACACTCTGAATAAAAAGTGCACTCGATGGTTGCTAGGCAACATAAATGTACAGTTATGGTTCAGACTCACTTAGAGACTTTTTTTTAGACTCAGTGCTATAGTTATTCTTAGATTATGCGTCTGAGCACTCTGCATTTTACAATGGCTTCAAAGAGAATTCATGAACTGTGAGTGTTCTGCTTCATGCTCACCAGTTCCATCAACATAAAGCTCGTGTCTAAAGGACAACAGAGGACTGAGCTTGTGGATAGGTTTCATTCACAGAATGACTCAAATCTTTTATGTTTTTGGTTGTTTTTTTTTTCTTCAACATTGCTGTATAAATAGTAAACCTGCAGGCAAATCTAGAACAAATTGTGACATATACATTAATGCATTTGACTAAGAGCTTTGACAGGATTGTATCTATTTTTAGAAAATCAGCATGTAAATGAAGGAGAAATTTTGGAACAGTGTCTGTGAAAAGAAGAGAATCTCTGCGGAGGTGAAATGTTAAATATGGTGATTTCAGCTATAACATTTTTTCCTTATCTTCTAAGCAAACAAACAGAAAGCAATTGAGTTTTTATGCAGGGCTTTATCAAACTTGTATTACTCCCACAGCTTTGGTCTTAATGTGGTTTCATTATTCCATGTATCTTAGCCAACTGGGCTGCACATTTATTTAGCTCCAAGCCATGGAACACATGAGCAGGGAAGATATTTTGGACTGCACTAATCAAAATTTTCCTGTTTGGGATTTTCTTTTTTGGCATATTGTAATTCTTCTGCACTTGGCAGATTTGCTGAAATTAAAACAGCTAAAATATTCCCAAATTTTAGAGAAATCTTAAACATAATCACTTTTTTATGTTCAGTCTACACAAAGGCACCACATTTGAACTCCCCAATCATTTGGAATTAAAATGTCCAAAAGAGGGTTCAACAATATGAAATGAAACTCGTTTTTATTCTTTTTAGTATTTTTCTAAAGAAAAAAATACCATTGGTTAAAACATGGTCATCATTTTATTCTACAATGGAGCTCGATGGCTTTTTCTGTTTTGTGATTTGACAAAACTTGGTTAATTATTACTATTAACATTTATGAAACTACTATAATTTTCTCTGCAACTCATCATCGACTGCAGTTATGAGACTGCCTTGACTAAACAATATCGTGTTTTTCAGAGTAGAATGACTCAAATGCTCTTTGTCACTTTTCTGCTGATGAAAACCGATAAAAATGGATGGAATCTTACATTGGACAACACAGCTGACAGATAACAGAATGCACCTGCAGACTCATGCTGCTCACAGTCAGATGCACTGCATGGGGAAGTCATCCTCTAAAGATGTTCCCAAACAAATCACACAATTTTCCACCTGACACACTAAAGCCAGTAAGCATTTTGCCTTTTATTGTTCATTTGCCTTTTTTCTGTTTTTTAAGCATTTTTGTCTGACCATTTCGTTCTGAGTAAATATATTCTTTTTAGATATGGATATCATTTAAATTTCCATAACATTAAACGCTTAAGGCAAAATATCTTTTTATGTTCACATTGAGTGGTCTTATTGCTGCTGATCTTACAACAGTACACTCAATTCTTCAAAAGAAGACTCACTTTCACGTTTGTCTGCCATCAGATCAACTATTTCTATGTTTAACCTGGGAATAAAAGTGTTTTCATTATTCATTTAATCTTTGTAGTAAACAAATCAATATCATACCAAACCATATGGTATTAACACATGTGTAATCAAATGCCAATGGTGTATAAGTTAGTAAAAATGTATGGTTCAATCTTTAGCAGAGAGCATAAAAACTTTAAGTTATACCACACAAGAAGGTTACATCAGATTCAGCCAACAAAGCTTCCAAAATAATAATATTTCATTCACATCTGTAAACCTCAGCTGGCTTCCTAATAAATAGAATATAGGCAGAAAATTTCAGTGTGAAGTAAATAATTGCTTTCTCATTAACTCATTTTCAGACTTGTGTGAAAATCTGTTTGTATTCCAGGACAACTCAGGCAAAATGGAACATTATAAATAGTTTACAAACACCCTCAAACAGGGATGAAAAAAGGAGAAGTGGTGAATAATTTCCTGAGGCTGAGGTGATTTGTGGCTTGTGTAGGTTAAAGGGAGAGGGATACAGCAAAACAGGAGCAGAGCAAAGGAACTCTTACAAATGGCATCTAGTAAACTCTCAGTAACTTCACACAGGAGGGTGAAAATGCACCCGTGAATCCTAACACCTAGCAGGGAGCAACAACACAAGGTAAAAGCAGCTCAACAAGCCCACCAGAAAAAATGGTAAAATGCATGCATTAGTTTTTGGAAATTATATTACAAAATTTATCATGCAGGTGGAAATCACCATACGGCAGCATACGGTAATTGCTTCACATATCCCTCAAGGAAAAACACTACCGAATATGCATTTTATCGCAGCGGTCAGAGCGGAGCAACTCCCAGCAGTAAACCCGAGGAGAGCAGCGTTTGAGAGTCCACTGCAATATATTCTATTATACCCCAAGCCACAATTTCATCCCATTACATAATTACACAGAGACTACTGAGTTAGGGTAGCTGTAAGATGGATTGAGCTGGCTGCTTCATAAATGAGGTTAAGGTCACAAGACACTGTCCACAAACGATAAAGCGGATTTAATTCTGCCTTGGAAAGGAAATATCAATGTCCTCCGCTGTGCTAGTGCCTGCTTGGATAAACAAAGGCTAAACAGAAGCTTTGCGAAACAACATGGGAAAATAGTGTGCATGCAAATGAGTGTGCTGCATCCACCCACTAGTTGGATCATTATGCATTATTAACATATGCAGGGAACAGAGGATACACAAGAGAGAGCACAGAATTCAGCGTATGAAGAGGAAGACACACTTGGTAAGTTTCTCCGCGGCTGCCTGTGGCAGTGGTGTGAGCAGCCTCCAACACCCTGCTCTTGACACACTGCTTTCCTGCTACATTACACATGACGAGACTCTGTTGACTCCAACCACAGAGCAAGCGCTCTAAAGGAGACATGAAGGGAGCACTCGGGAGGCAGGGAACTGCCCGCCAACTCAGTGCTCCCCTGTCAGCACAGCTTTTCACTGTCATTGCGGAGCCGTTTCAGGAAAGGAGCACAGATACAGTTAATATACGCGCCGAGAATGTGCAGCTTAAAAGACACGACGGCTCCAGCTGCATTTAAGATGGCCTCTTTTGACACGCGTGTCCAATTTGGGCAAATATGATGTTGAATGTTAGTAACCGGATTTATGTTATCTTTTAATCTTTGATTGTTAATGAGTGGAGTATGTTTTGAGAAATTGACATGTTTTATATCAATCCATTTTCTACACTAATTCTAACACACACACACACACACACGTTACTTTACACACCTGTGTGAGCTCCTGCTGTTCCAGCTCCCATTTCTTAATGCCGTTGTCTCTCGACCCACTGAACAGCACGTCTCCATGTACGGCCAAACACTCTATACCATCATAATGCGGGGGCTCAAAGTTATGAGATGGACCAATATTACCCAGAGTTCCCTCTGCTACGTCAAACACCTAAATGAGAGGATGGAAAAGGAGTTAACATTTTGGAGGATGAGTAGAATTTGACATATATGTTACAAAATAAATTGGTGTGTGTAGTGTGCACGTGTATGGGAGGGGGGGTGGGGGTAGGTACCTTGACATAATGGTCTTTGGAGCCAGTGATGACTTGATCTTTACCCAGCAGAGATTGCCCCACTGTCAGACACATGACAGAGCCAATGTGGCCCATCAACTTCCCCGTCGCCTGCATCCTGCAGGAAGTGGAAAAAAAAACATCTGTGACACTCATAATCTGGATTTCATAGTTTTTCACAGGTGCCAGTGTCACAAAATCAAATCACATTCTTTCCATAAAGCCAACGAAAACTATTAAGACACAGCAATGCCACAGGCAGGCAGGATGAAGAAATGTTTAATACTCTGATTTTTCATTTCTGACGTGGGGAGTTTCTTACGCATCATTAAATAGTCTGGCGCCCCACAGCTTAAACTGTCTGGTCCAATCTGTTAAGGATTTCATTTTACAAACATGAAAAAATGAGAAAAACATGGACCGAGTATGAAATGCCTGGTTCCTGGTTGCTTTTGGAAACCACGCTCACAGGGATTGGTCATGGTCATAACCCTGTGCCTGTTGACAGCTTTTTAAATCCCTTGTGTCAGATTCTAATAACTGCATGAATGAGTCATTTGTGAGCGCTGAGACTAAATATATAACCAATTTAATAAGTAATGAATATTTTAACACACAAATGACTGCCTGAATGCTTAAATCAATAATTGTACACCCAATCCATGAATAAATGAACCTGTGAATAAATGAGTGACTGAACAAATGTACCGGTTGAGATCCCACATGCGAACTATGTTTCCAGCAGCAGCATAGAGGACAGATCCTGACGGGTTGAGAGCTATCTGGTTGATCTGACACTCGCCCTGAGCAAAGGTTATTGTGCGGGTGGTCGTGCCAGCGCACGCGTCCCCTGAAACCACCTGTCCCGATGACCTGTCAGGGTAAAGAGGCCGGACAGTGTCAGAGAGAGGGAGCCAGGACAGGTAGGATTAAGGATGAGAAGTAGGTTACATCTGTCATGTCTTCCACAAACATTTCGCTGGCTAATTTTTCACTGGAAGCGCCAACAGGCACCTGAACAGTTTTTATCCCGAGGCCACCACCCTCGTAAATAAGGACATCTCCACCCTCCAACCACTTCTACACTCACTTAAAGATACAGACACCTAAAAACACCCAAACATATCATGTACCTACCATTTATTCTAATTTGTTATTTAAACTGTCCTGTTGCACTGAGATACCATTTCAAATTCCTGTGTACTCTGTACATTTGGCCAATAAAGCGATTCTGATTCTGATGACTGAGCACAGAAAAAAACCCTTGTAGATCAAGTTTGGCAAATTTGTCATCAGCTGCAAAACTACTGAAGTCTGTCCGAGTCTGAAGAGGGAAACTCACGTGAGCGTGCGGATGCACTTAGCCGAGTCCCGGATGTCCCACACCTTAATGTAGGAGGTGGAGACAGAGAAGACCAGACCCGAGGAGGGGCAGTACTTCACTGACACCACGTTGTTGGGATGGCCTTTAAGGGTGGCAATCTCTTGTCCTGTTACCAGGTTCCACATTTTACAGGTACGGTCTGGAGGACAGACGAGAGGAAGTTTAAGATAAGACTGGGCTTATGTCCAAAGAATCAATTTGGTAGAACTGTTCAGCTTTCCATGGTAATAAACTTTAAAAACAAATTAATAAATGTTCTGTGATGGGCATCCCCTTCACTCAGCTCTGTTCAGTTGTTACCATGGCAAAGGCCGGCTGGAATAGCTGCGAAATTGAATCCCCCAAAACATGAACATGAACATTAATAAAAAAATAATTCAGCGCTTTAAGAAATGTTTTGGCTTTTTGTGAGCTGAGAACAATAATTACTCAAACATCATTTACATGGTGCAAGATAGGCAGGAAGAAAAACTCATAAAACAAAGCAGCAGTTATCACTTTACAATTTCTAGTAATCATTTACATATTGTGTGACATTTTGTCACAGTAATGTACTATTCTCTTACTTTTTCTCTTCCAGAAAAAAATAACAACAAATAAGAAATAACTACCACAGGTGGTAAATTCTGACTAAGTTACTGGGTCAAATTGCACCAGTGGAAAAAAGGTGCAACTCCTTGATTAGACTGACGTAGGTGCCAAAATAAACAATCTTTTTTTCTCGCTCTCAATACCAGTGAAATAAAATGATCAAATTAGAATGGCTGACTTTCTATTTTGTATTTGTCTTCTTCTTCTAGGAGTTTACATGTTTTGATACCAGACAATTAAGTGCATTTTAGATAGGGACTTACAATAAATAATTAGAATTTCAACAAGAGTGGAGAGCAGATTTTAAAGGTAGTTGAAGTAGTTTGGATTAAAACAAGAAACAAGAAATTGGGTGAAAGATAAGTATTGGTAGCAATTAGAGCGTTACGAGATAAGGTTCTTTTGGCAAAGTAAAATTTTTTAGAGCTAAAACACTTCTTAAAGGTTGAGCCCAGATTTGACTTTAGTCTTGTGTGTACCTTTGGATCCAGTGAACAGCAGCTCATCTGTAGCGTCCACACACAGAACCGGCTTTGAGTGACCCTCTGCCACGGACACACACTGCAGAGGCGCTGTCCGACCACCTTTCACACCCCCGATGGGATTGATCACACCCCTATGGTCACCAAACAAATTTCCAGTGTCACGTTTTTCTCAGTGTAAGTTAGTGAAGATGATTTTCTTTAACAGATTTAGAGTATACGCACTGTACGACAGTTTTATCACAAACATGCACACAGAAACATAAATAAATCATACCTATTATACAGAGGATACACACACACACACACACCTCTGCAAATATAGAAACAGTTTTCCTAGGCAGTGGTTCCCTGCAGATCTAGCTTAAACCTCTATACAGTGCTGTGAAAAAGAAAGTACAACCTCTAAAAATTGCCAGGAATTTAAATCAGGACATAATAGAAAAAAGACTCTTTGGGTCTTTGAATAAGCAAAACATGACATATGTAGTTATGTATAAAGTTCCCAAACAAAAACAAAGCCAAAGTGTAGAATTACTGTCAACAACTAATAACCATTTAGTATCATTGTATAACATTTGCAAAGAAACAAAGACGGTAAGTAGGAGCTTGGTTTTGCTACTCAAACCCAAGTGACTAATCACTGGTAAATGGTGCTTGATACAGCACACTAAAAAGCAGCATTTTTGTCAGTTTGCTGGTCTGGAGAATTGTCAAATAAGTCAACACAATCCCAAAGAAGAAAAACATTGGACCTAGCACCCCAATAGTTCACCCCAAGGTCTCAGAGGGGGGATAGAAACCCACAAAAGCTACAGTTCAAACAATAGAGGTCTTAGTGATCAGGTATAATGTTAACAATCAGGACAGTTATTTAAGAGCATGACCGAAAATACGTAGCTTATTTTCAACGGGGTTGCGGGAGAAAGCCTATTGTGTGTAAAAACATGTCAGCACAGCTCAGGTTTTCAGAGTCACATCTAAACCAACACCCACACTTCTGGGAGAACGTTCTTTGGTCAGACGGGACGAAAGTGGAGATGATCCAAAGTGCCATGTTTGGTGAAAACCCAACACAGCAGATCAGCACTAACACCTCGAATAAACTGTCACGTTCTGGCGGGGGGGGGGGGGGGG